GAGTCATTAATTATACATGCTAGGGATTCTGGCAGCTGAGAACGTATGTCTGGCTCTGTGCCTGGGAGTCTTCCATGTGGATTGTTCTATATAAACTTCATTAGATCGGGTTCAACTGCAGCAAGCAGCTGTGTCAACATTTCCATAATCAAGTTATCAATGAAGTCGTCGCAGGCTCTGTCCTGTATGAAGAGACTTCGGCCTGTAGGTTTATCACCAGAGAACCCTGGCAAGGTGTTGCCCAAGTGCAGACGCCACAGTGCGAATACTACAGAACACAATCAGAGACAGTAAAACGCTACTGTCAGTATTGTTTTTATATGATATCCTGAGTTTGGAAACTGATAGCGGCATCAAACAGACAGAACAAACAAATAGCTGATGTTTCCAAACACAGTAACCAGCTTTTTTTTTTATCTCAGCCTTATGACGAAGCAGACATCAGAAGTTTGTGTGCTGTGAAAAACACAGAAGAATGGTTTACGTTTCGACAACACAAAAATGTGGCAGTTGAGTTGAGCTGAGTTGAGCCAAGTATTGACATCACAGCACTCAGAGTATTTCCATGCATGCTCCGTCCTCATCTTCAGCAGCCAGCGCATAGTTCCAATACCGAGGGTACCGGTCACAATCTGGTTATATCTCCGTGTTGCCTTTCCTTTGAGTGTAGTGAGCCGGCAAAACCCTCTGGTTACACCAAGGTGCCTCATTCTCTCCAGGTCAAAATAATTTTGTTCCTCTTCTGATTCCGTTGCTTGTTTCCAGAGGGCCTTGACCACATCTGCCTTGTCATGTATCAATTCTCCAGGCAGCTGCTGATACATGTGCCAAGAAAGCTAGAAGAGACCATTTCGACATTATAAAAAATCTGCCAACAAAACCAGAAGAAATATGAGAAATTAAGAGACCACGAGAAGTTTTGGAATGATATCCAGTTTAATATCCAGGAATGATATCCAGTGTAATATCCACTGGTAAATGTTTGCGAAACACCGACTAAATTAGTTAGGTGACCAGGTGAAATTGAATCCAATAATTCCGGCATCTAGAGCAGACAACAAGAAGATGGACAGATAAGCCTTTGACACATTACAGCCTACCTCACATCACAGCCTACCTCACATCACAGCCTACATCACATCACAGCCTACCTCACATCTCAGCCTACATCACATCACAAACTACCTCACATCACAACCTACCTCACATCACAGCCTACATCACATCACAACCTACCTCACATCTCAGCCTACATCACATCACAACCTTCCTCAAATCACAGCCTACCTCACATCACATCCTACCTCACATCACTGTCTACCTCACATCACAGCCTACCTCACGTCACAGCCTACCTCACATCACAGCCTACATCACATCACAACCTACCTCACATCTCAGCCTACATCACATCACAACCTACCTCAAATCACAGCCTACTTCACATCACAGCCTACATCACAGCCTACCTCACATCACAACCTACCTCACATCACTGTCTACCTCACATCACAGCCTACCTCACGTCACAGCCTACCTCACATCAGAGCCTATCTCACATCACTGTCTACTTCACATCACAACCTACCTCACATCACAGCCTACCTCACATCTCAGCCTACATCACATCACAACCTACCTCAAATCACAGCCTACTTCACATCACAGCCTACATCACAGCCTACCTCACATCACAGCCTACCTCACATCACAGCCTACCTCACATCACAGCCTACCTCACATCACTGTCTAACTCACATCACAGCCTACCTCACATCACAGCCTACCTCAAATAACAGCCTACCTCACATCACAGCCTACATCACAGCCTACCAAGCATTCAAACGTCCCTTGACTGGGCTACATTTCACCTGTGGAACTGCAAGGCCCAATGGCACAAAGCAGATGTGGACAGAAGTCAAAAAGGATATTATGATACCTACAACATCAGAGACGCCCATGCTCCACAGGCTTCCAGCAGAATCATCTGATTTAATATCTGATTCATCTGTATACTGGATCAAAATTAGCCTGGGACTCGTCATCCAGTTCGTTCTCCTGCCCATCGCCTTGACCACAAACGTCACCACCATGATTGTATTTGCCAAGATCGGGATTAAAGATGGCATCTCTGTTGCCTTTTTCTCCTTATCCACTGCCCAGTTTGGATTTACCTTCTTTTTCTCCATTCAAAGGTTTTGTTATGCTTATCAATACCAGTTCCCTCAACCGTCTTATACGTATTTCGGGGCTTTAGGATACATGGTTAGTTTTTATTCCACCATGTTTGAGGATGTAGCAAGCGGGATTATTGTCTTCACGGCTGTTCAACAATGTTGCTGTGTGGCAGTTCCATTTCACTTTAAAAACACATTCACGTTTTCAAGAAGTGTGTTTATCGTCACAGCCATTTATCTGTGTGCGCTTCTGTACTATCTACCCCTGTTTTCGTGGCATGGAATAGGTCCTGTTTTTAGTATTGTTAACACATCTGTAGTCTCCCACACACACCTTCCTAAAATCCTCACCCATTTATCCATATCCCAGATCCTTAGTGGTCTTATTATGCCCGTTGTGACTCAGACAACAATTATTGTATGTCTAATCATTCTCACTGTTAAATTAACACAAGCTTACAGATTCCGAAAATCTGGTATGATTGTTGCCAGGCAACAACAAACAAATTTTGTTCTGAAACCAAAAAGAAATTTTGATTCCAATAAAACTAGTACAAGGAAGCAAAAACAAGCTGAGCAGTTAAATAATATATCAGTCAAAGAAAAACCTAAACCGAATATAAGAAAAGAACTAAAAGTGATTAGCGCGGTCTATGCAACAGCCTTTGTATTTATTGTCAGCAACATTGGCAACATTCCCTTAAAGTTTACAGGTTTCTTTGTTGGCGGGTTTCAGGGCAATTATGGTGAGAAATATTTTAATACTTACATTTCTGTCAACATTATCCAAGGTATCTTGTCCCACGTGGCTGTGGTGTTTCAAATTTGTATTTACGTAAATTTCAATACCAAATTCAGGACACAGCTGATTAGTACGTGGAGATGTTTCAAATAAATATACAACACGTTTATTTAAGTGTTCTATGCGTTTCATTACCTTTTTGAAAAATATTGAACAATACTTGTTTAAAGGAATCAATCAACTTTGACACCACAAGTTTGTTTAGGCCAGCATAAAAGTTGGTGTATTGGAAGCTAAAAGCCCCAAGTACCAAGAAAAATAAAAAAAAAATAAAGAAAAAGAGGCGGGGGCTAGAAACAGAAATATTCTAGCCCAAACATGAAATCTTTTGTGTAAAATCTAATCAGCAGTAACAAGAAATAAACTAGGCACACTAACCACAAGATCTAATCTGAATCAAACAACTGGAACTATGATCGCCACATTAAATATCTGTTTATTTCACTGAACATAAGACCTTTCTAAGCGCTGTTCACAAATAATACAACATTAAAAATCCTCAACGTGCCAAGCACTTCATCTCCTGGTGATGATACGCACTGAAATATCTACCCACACACCTTAACTACTAGAGACAAATTTAGGGCTAACTATAATAAACGTACCACCATCATAAAATCAGCCAGGCAGCCGACATTCCCCTGTAGTCGCCTGTGCCCACGCTTTCTAGCCCAATGTGCAGAGCGAGCCACAACAGCTGGGTGGGTCTCCTGCAGGTTCGGTCAGGAAGCAAAAAATGAGTCTAATTTTGAGTAAGCTGGCCTTTTTATACACAGTGGCCATGTATTTTTCACAAGTGAGCTCAAACCAAATCAAGGTATTCATCGTCACACGATTACATTGGTTTAGAGTAGTAGGTTTTTTGAAACTACAGGATAGCATAAAGAGCCCATCCCATTTTAAGGTCAACTTTTGATAATATCTTCTTGTCTTTCCTGATTTAAATCCTTTTTGGTTTTAACCAAGGCTTTCTCCATCTTGGGCCACGGTGCACTTTTATTTTTAAGTGACCTCCAAGTGGGACTCTGATTTTTACCTGTGTAGATACTTTGTTTTATATTTAAATTTCCGAAATAGATTGTTCTTAAATATTAGGTGTTATTAACCATGCCTGCAAAATGTTCTCTTCCTGAATGTAGCTCGAATTACGATCCTTTAAGGGGATATGTGAGTGTGTTTAAATTTTCTGCAGATTCTCTTTTAAGAAAAAGATAGTTGAATAAAATTGGGCTCACGGGAAAACCAGTATTGTATAAGTGACACATTTCCCTATATCTGATATTAGTGTATCAGATAAAAACACAGACAGATCTGGAGTTGAGCATGTACTTGCGCTTTAAGAAAAGATGCTTATCAAACTCTCTTTCCAGATCTTCCATCCTATTTATCGGTGAAAGTACCAGAATCTCTCGAAACTTCAGAGGAATGTGTACCACATACTAATAGTAATCACGGTCAAAAAATAAATGAATGGCTGTCCTCAGATATGTTACAGATTTCCTGGAGTCACAGATTGGAAACAAACTGAAAGGACAGTTTTTAAAGAAAAACTGGAAACACACTTCTGTGGATGGATCGTTAGCATGTATTGTTTTGTATGTCATTACCATACAGTCAGGCTCTGTACCATTCATATGTGTCGGCATAAAGGTGTTATTTGATATGACTATACAAGCCTTTGTTCAAAATAAAGAGGTTTATAAAAGAGACCTTAAACGGACTGTATACAAGAATAAACTTGTTGGACGGTCACAGCCTGAATTTCGTGTAATCCACAACAATGCTCGGGTTTGTAGTAACATTCAATGTCCAAATAGATTTACTGATTTAATGGGAAAAGCAGAAGGTAATTTAAGCAGTGCTGCAGACAACAAAGAATTTTTAATGGGACAGCTAAGGGCTTAACTGACACACACAAAATTGGCTATGTGGATGATGTCAGTAGTACATCAGATACACAGTCTTAGCTCAGTGGATGATGTCAGTAGTACATCATATAGACAGTCTTGTCTCAGTGGATGATGTCAGTAGTACATCAGATACACAAGCTTAGCCCAGTGAATGATGTAAGTAATGCACCAGGTACACTGTCGTGGCTCAGGGATGATGTCAGTAATACACCGGGTACACTGTCTTGTCTCAGTGGATGATGTAAGTAATGCACCAGGTACACTGTCTTGTCTCAGAGGATGATGTAAGTAATACACCGGGTACACTGTCTTGTCTCAGAGGATGATGACAGTAATACACCTGGTACACTGTCTTGTCCCAGAGGATGATGACAGTAATACACCGGGTACACTGTCTTGTCTCAGTGGATGATGTAAGTAATGCACCAGGTACACTATCTTGGCTCAATGGATGATGTACATAATACACCAGATACACTGTCTTGGCTCAGTGGATGATGTCAGTAATACACCAGGTACACTGTCTTGGCTCAGTAGATGATGTCAGTAATACACCAGGTACACTGTCTTGGCTCAGTAGATGATGTCAGTAATACACCAGGTACACTGTCTTGGCTCAGTAGATGATGTCAGTAATGCACCAGGTACACTGTCTTGGCTCAGTAGATGATGTCAGTAATACACCAGGTACACTGTCTTGGCTCATTGCATGATGTAAGTAATACACTGGTTACACAGTCTTAGCTCAGTGGATGATGTCAGTAGTACACCAGTTACACAGTCTTGTCTTATGATGTCAGTAGTATACTGGTTATAGTCTTGCCCCTCTGAATGATGTCAGTAGTGCACTGATTACATAGTCTTGTCTTAGTGGATGTTGTCAGTAGTACACTGGTAACAGTCCTGCCTTTGATTGATTGATTGATTGATTGATTGATTGATTGATTGATTGATTGATTGGTGATTCCCATGTTGCCAGACCATAAGACAACTAATCAAATTGACCACATATGTATTAACAAAAAGTTTAGATCATCAATTTACGATGTTAGGGCTTTCAGGGTGCCGATGTATTTACTGACCATTTCCTGGTGATAAGTAAAATCAAGTTGAAACTAAAAAGATATATAACATCTTATAATCATATAAACCAATATAATGTAGGCTTTCTCAGAGATAAAGAAATTAAGGAACAGTTCTCAGTTACGGTCTCTAATAAGTACCAGGTGTTGCAGCAGTTAGCTGAAGATGTCAACACAGAAGTCTGCTGGGATCAGATCAAAGGAATCTGGAATGAATCTTGCGTAGAAGTTCTTGGCAAGAAAGAAAGGAAACATAAAGCATGGATAACACCAGAAACCATTAAACTGATTGAAGATAGGAAAAGTAAAAAGGCAGAATTAAACAATAGCAAAACTAGAGCTGCTAAAGCTAGAGCTCGGGAGAATTACACAGAAGCCAACAAGAAAGTTAGGAGGCATATAAGGGCAGATAAAGTGAAATATCTAAATGATCTAGCACAAGAAGCGGAGACAGCAGCAGCAAAAGGAAACCTCAGAGAACTTTACAGTAACACACGAAAATTAGTAGGTAAATATAGTCAGCCAACTGGATCAATCAAAAATAGTCAAGGAAAGGTACTTACTAACACTAAAGATCAAATGGACAGATGGGTTGAATATTTTGAAATGCTTCTAAATAGACCAGGCCCAGAGGTTCCCCCAGATATCCAGCCTTTAGAAATGGAACTGGATATCAACTGTGAGATACCATCCAAAGAGGAAATTAGAAAAGCTATAAATCTTCGTAAGGAAGGAAAGGCGTCAGGCCCAGATGGTATCCCAGCTGAAGCCATCAGGACCAACAGAAACACATCAACAGAATTGCTACATAGATTATTCAGTAAAGTCTGGGAGACCGAAGAAATACCAGCAGACTGGAGAGAAGGATATCTTGTGAAACTACCCAAAAAAAGGTGATCTACAGGAGTGTGAAAACTATAGAGGAATTATGTTGCTGTCAGTTCCTGGAAAAATATTAAGTAGAGTTATTTTGGAAAGATTAAAAGATGCTATTGATAAAATGCTAAGAGATGAGCAGGCAGGTTTTCGGTCAAACAGATCCTGTACTGATCAGATAGCCACATTACGTATTATAATAGAGCAAAGCATTGAACTGAACTCACCACTTTACATTGGATTTATAGACTATGAAAAAGCATTTGACAGCATTGATAGGGAATCTCTCTGGAAATTGATGGGGCACTATGGAATCCCACAGAAAATTATCAACTTAGTAAAGGCAACATATAAAGACATGAAATGTCGTGTTCTTCATGAGGGAAAGCTAACAGATGCATTTGAAATAAAAACAGGTGTGCGACAGGGATGTCTTTTGTCGCCTCTCTTATTTTTACTGGCTATAGGCTGGACTATGAAAACAGTAACTGCTAACACCAATAATGGAATTCAGTGGACCCCTACAAAACAGCCTGATGATCTGGACTTCGCTGATGATATTGCCCTTCTGTCCCATACACGGAATCAGATACAAGATAAATTAAATATACTTAATGCGAGATCACAGCAGCTTGGTCTGAAAATCCATAAAGGAAAGACAAAGATAATGAGAATAAATCAGGCAAATTGTAATGTGGTTTCTCTTAATGGCACCCCACTCCAAGACGTGGAGTCGTACACCTATTTGGGCAGTAATGTAGATAAAGATGGAGGAACTGATAGAGATATTTAAAAAAGAATACAAAAGGCAAGAGGGGCTTTCATAGCACTAGGTAATTTGTGGAGGTCAAAAGAAATTAAAAATTTTTAATTTTAATGTCAAATCAGTACTATTGTATGGGGCGGAAACATGGAGAACAACGAAGGCAATTACTAATAAATTACAGACATTCATTAACTGGTGCCTGCGCAGAATAGAGGGAATACAATGGTATGATAGAATAACTAATGTAGAACTTTGGGAGAGAACTAAACAGGCTCCAGTGGATCAGGAGGTGAGGAAAAGACGCTGGCGTTGGATAGGGCACACACTGAGAAAACAGGAGAACAGCATAACTAGAATGTCTTTGCATTAGAACCCACAGGGGCATAGGAATAAAGGAAGGCCAAAAAACACATGGAAAAGAGAGCTGGAGAATGAGGTTAGAAAGATTGGGAGGACATGGGGAGAGCTCCATGTAATGGCGAAGGATAGAGCGACTTGGCGTGAGTTGGTTGAGGGCCTATGCTCCATAGGGGAATAGAAAGGCAGAAGAAGAAGAAGAACAGTCCTGCCTTAGTGGATAATGTCATTAGTACACCGGTTACAGTCTTGCCTTAGTGGATGACAACAGTGGTCCACTGGTTACATAGTCTTGCCTTTGAGGATTATGTCAGTAGTACACCGGTTACAGTCTTGCCTCTGTGGATAATGTCAGTAGAACACCGGTTACAGTCTTGCCTCTGTGGATGATGTCAGTAGTACACTGGTTACATAGTTTTGCCTTAGTGGATAATGTCAGTAGTACACCGGTTACAGTATTGCCTTAGTGGATGACGTCAGTAGTACACCGGTTACATAGTCTTGCATTAGTGGGTAATGTCAGTAGTACACCAGATATATTTTTGCCCTAGTGGATGATGTCAGTAGTACACCGGTTACTGTCTTGCCTCTGTGGATGATGTCAGTAGTACACCGGCTACATAGTCTGGCTTTAGTGTATGATGTCAGTAGAACACCAGTTACATAGTCTTCCCTTAGTGGATGATGTCATTAGTCACCGGTTACAGTCTTGCTTCTGTGGATGATGTCAGTAGTACACCGGTTACAGTCTTGCTTCTGTGGATGATGTCAGTAGTACACCGGTTACAGTCTTGCCTCTGTAGATGATGTCAGTAGTACACCGGTTACTGTCTTGCCTTAGTGGATGACGTCAGTAGTACACCGGTTACTGTCTTGCCTTAGTGGATGACGTCAGTAGTACACCGATTACAGTCTTGCCTTAGTGGATGATATCAGTAGTACACCGGTTACAGTCTTGCCTTAGTGGATGATGTCAGTAGTACACCGGTTACAGTCTTGCCTTAGTGGATGATGTCAGTAGTACACTGGTTACAGTCTTGCCTCTGTGGATGATGTCAGTAGTACACCGGTTACAGTCTTGCCTTAGTGGATGATGACTGTTGTACACCGGTTACAGTCTTGCCTCTGTAGATGACGTCAGTAGTACACTGGTTACACAGTCTTGCCTCAGCAGATGATGTCAGTAGTACACCGGTTACAGTCTTGCCTTAGTGGATGATGTCAGTAGTACACTGGTTACAGTCTTGCCTCAGCAGATTATGTCAGTAGTACACCGGTTACATTCTTTCCTTAGTAGAATATGTCAGTAGTACACCGGTTACAGTCTTGCCTTAGTGGATGATGTCAGTAGTACACCGGTGACAGTCTTGCCTTAGTGGATGATGTCAGTTGTACACCGGTTACAGTCTTGCCTCACTGGATGATGTCAGTAGTACACTGGTTACAGTCTTGCTTTAGTGGATGATGTCAGTAGTACACCAGTTACAGTCTTGCCTTAGTGGATGATGTCAGTAGTACACCGGTTACAGTCTTGCCTTACTGGATGATGTCAGTAGTACACCGGTTACAGTCTTGCCTTAGTGGATGATGTCTGTTGTACACCGGTTACAGTCTGTTGTACACCGGTTACAGTCTTGCCTCACTGGATGATGTCAGTAGTACACTGGATTGATAATCTTGCCTCAGTGGATGGCGTCAGTAGTACACCGGTTACATAGTCTTGCATTAGTTGTTAATGTCAGTAGTACACCAGATACATTTTTGCCTTAGTGGATGATGTCAGTAGTACACCGGTTACATAGTCTTCCCTTAGTGGATGATGTCATTAGTCACCGGTTACAGTCTTGCTTCTGTGGATGATGTCATTAGTCACCGGTTACAGTCTTGCTTCTGTGGATGATGTCAGTTTTACACTGGTTACAGTCTTGCCTATGAATATGATGTCAGTAGTACACCTGTTACTGTCTTGCCTTAGTGGGTTACCAAGTTGAAGTTGAAAAAAAAAAAATCATAAATCTTTTCAGGAGCAACTTATGGATGTGAGACATGGACTAGTCGTTAAGCACTGAAAAAGAAGAAAAAATCGCGTTTGAATTAAAATGCTACAAAAACATTCCACTTTTTGAACATCGTGGACGAAAAACAAAGCAGCAGTACCGACATCAAACATTATCTGTTTTGGCTATGCTAAACGTCATGGTGACCTGGGGAGACCTGGGAGTGACCTGGGGGTGACCAGGGGGAGACCTAGGGGTGACCTGGGGGTGACCTTGAGGTGACCTGGGGGTGACCTGGGGTTGACCTGAGGGAGATCTGGGGGTGACCTGGGGGGGGGGGGTGACCTGAGAAAGCCTTGTGTGTGACCTAGGGGCGAACGGTGACAGAGCGTACCTTTTCTGGAGAACAAGGCAGACGCGGAACTTAGCAAAACTGGACACAAGACACTGAAGTTACGTTAGCTATGAAAGCACATACGGCTGGAGAATGGAAGAGAGAACGTGAGATTTTCAGGAGTGCCGTGAAGAGAGGGATGTTTTGTCAGACCTCCTGATTAATGACGATGATTACGTTATAGGCAGGGTTTCATACTTTGTCGGCGAATGTGGCTTAGGCGTTGCGAACCCGCTTCGTAATGCTGGGGTGCCGGTTTCGATCCAAAGTGCGGCAAACTAATGAACGTAAAATGTGCCTAGTAAAAACCACAACAGCCACACGGGTTTCTCCTACAACGTTCTGTAATGGATATGCAACTAACTATTTTTTTTAATGCCTTATCAAGTTTCAGTGTTCTTTTTTTTTTTTTTTAAATACTTCTGGGAACGATTTATTCAAAATGTTTCTAATGTGTTTGCAGTGGTTTTCCGTACTCATCGCGCTTGCTGCAGGTTTTTAATTGAATATGTCAACAAGCTGTTTCTTGATATCTTGATCTATGATATATTCTACCTTGTATTGAACGCAATGGTAGATGTCTCGTCGCTCACAGGCCCGGTGAACACAGAAGTTAGCAACCACGTTAAAGTAACACATAGGCTGAGATTGTAAACGTTCTAGAGTGATTAATTCAGCTGTCGACGTTTTCACATTTGGAGAGGTGTCTCTGAATGGCAATTGTTCACTTGTGTTACACATTTATTTCAATTATATTTTTTTGTTTTGGAAGTTTTCAAGATTCGGACCACCTTTTCCCCACGATTATGTGATATTTCCTCTTGCCTGTATACCTGTATCACATTTACAACATTGTAGTCATTTATTCTTGCACGAACTGGTTGAATCTCTGACTGATAACTTGGTTCTATCCCGTCAATCAGGCAACATCGTCGGCATTTTTGTGGCTCTCAAGTACCGAATACGTAAGCTACGATCATCCAATGCTGTGAGGGGATAGTGCAGACGCTCGTCCAACTTTGTATTGTGCAAAGATTTTGCTTTTCCTCAGATATTATTTAAAGCTCAATTCCTACTTCGTTATCCAGTGAGGTATTTTTCTACAGGGTGTCCATGTGGAAAAGCCAAACCTCCTTTCTGTAACTTCATCGCTGCTGCATAAACGTGTTCGTAGCCAAGTCTGTGGCGACCTGATTTTCCAACCAGTCCATTGACAGCCAGCAGTTAAACAACAAAATGCCTTCTGCTGTTTGTAGAAGCCAAACAGTCCTACTGTCACCCACAGAATCAATTGATTCGATCTCCGACGAATCAGCTGATTTTATTCGTTTAACTTTAGGATTCCTATTAGATTTTCCAATTCTTTTATTTGGAATGTCGGCAAATATTATAAACATGGATGTTTATTTAAAAATCGGCATTTGTGACACTGTGTCGGTTTCATTTTTTGCTCTGTCATTAGTTCATTTTGGGTGCACCTTTTTCTACTTCGCTGGTCGGGTGTTCTTTGTTTTAAAACGGATATTTAACGTTGAATCATACATAGATTTGGGAGCTGTATTTTATTTGGTTGCATACTACAACTACTTATTTGAAGATGTGGCTAATGGGATTATTGTTTTCATAGCCGTTCAAAAATGTTGTTGTGTTGCCATTCCTTTCCGTTTCAAGAACACATTTACATATGCCAGGAGTGTGTCAGCAATAGTGATCATTTTTCTGGCAGCTTTGGCATACTATTTGCCAACATTTACTGGCCAATGGTTGGGGCCTGTCGTAGACTCTTTCACCAACACAACCCGACTGGTTTATACTTACCATCCAAGGATCTTAACTTTCATAAGAATATCCAAAGTTTTGAATGGGTTAATTTTGCCTGTTTTATCACATTCTTTAGTGACTCTTTGCTCTATGGTCCTGGCAGTGAAGTTAAAACAAGCGGTTAGCTTTCGAAATTCGAGTTTTGCAAATAAAATAATCGACACCAAGGATACTAAATTAATGTTTTCGAAAGAAATTATAAATCCTGTTCTGACCTTTCACAAACTTGATCCATTACACCAAGAGAGTAGAAACCTGGATTTTAGTAAGAGGCGTCTGCAGAAATTGAAAGGAAAAGAGCTAAAAGTCGTGCAGGCAGTGTATTTTACGGCCATTTTGTTTATTGTTTCCAACATCGGGAACGTTCCTGTCGAATTTGTCGGATTCTTTGTCCCAGATTTTCAAGACATTTGTGGCTCCAGATATTACAACACATATGTTCTAGTGACCTCTGTCCAGGCTCTGCTGGACCATCTCGGCACTGCATTGCACATCTTCATTTACGTGAAATTCAATCAGACGTACCGAAGGAAGTTGAAAGCCTTGTTCTGTAGCGATAAACCCACCACCTCAGACGCAAGGACACGACTAGAAAGGGTCTTACAATAATGTGGACATTAGCGTTACATTCCACAATTATTAACTGGCATATTCCGAAATCTCGTGTGAGTTCTGTAATATTGAATTCATTGCTACATATGTGTGTACACACACGCACACATGCGGGCATACAACCCAACACACACGCGGACACACAACCACACGCACACATGCGGGCACACAACCCAACACACACGCGGACACACAACCACACGCACACACACACACACACACACACACACACACACACACACACACACACACACACACAACCATAAAGTGATTCATACTAAAATGGTTTTGATGTTATATTTGATAAAAGCAGCGGTAGTCAGTCAATCATTGCTGCTGAACACAATGTACGAAACTATGATTACCCAGCCATAGTCATGACGAGACAATTCAATGTCAAATGATGCTCGGGACGCTGGATGTGGTTACAATGTTTTGGGTGCAAGAGGACAATGCAGAGAAGGGAATAGATCATCTCGGTCAGGGAAGGATTGTGCAGCGGGAGGTGGGAATGAGTTCCAGCAGAGTTCAACACTCAGAGGAAAGGCAAGACATGTGTTTTACTCAGATTGCTACTATCGTAATTGGAACTCTTTGCTGACTCCTGCCGATGAGACAGGACACATGTGGGAATGTAGATCACCTGTAGGTCCGGAAATGTAGATCACCTGTAGGTCAGGGAATGTAGATCACCTGTAGGTCTGGTAATGTAAATCACCTACAGGTCAGGTAATGTAGATTACCTGTAGGTCAGGTAATGTAGATCACCTGTAGGTCAGGTAATGTAGATCACCTGTAGGTCAGGGAATGTAGATCACCTGTAGGTCATGGAATGTAGATCACCTATAGTTCAGGTAATGTAGATCACCTATAGGTCAGGTAATGTAGATCACCTGTAGGTCAGGGAATGTAAATCACTTGTAGGTCAGGTAATTTCGATCACCTGTAGGTTAGGTAATGTAGATCACCTGTAGGTCAGGGAATGTAGATCACCTGTTGGTCCGGAAATGTAAATCACCTGTAGGTCAGGGAATGTAGATCACCTGTAGGTCAGGGAATGTAGATCACCTGTAGGTCCGGAAATGTAGATCACCTGTAGGTCAGGGAATGTAGATCACCTGTTGGTCCGGAAATGTAAATCACCTGTAGGTCAGGGAATGTAGATCACCTGTAGGTCAGGGAATGTAGATCACCTGTAGGTCCGGAAATGTAGATCACCTGTAGGTCAGGGAATGTAGATCACCTGTAGGTCTGGTAATGTAAATCACCTACAGGTCAGGTAATGTAGATTACCTGTAGGTCAGGTAATGTAGATCACCTGTAGGTCAGGTAATGTAGATCACCTGTAGGTCAGGGAATGTAGATCACCTGTAGGTCATGGAATGTAGATCACCTATAGGTCAGGTAATGTAGATCACCTATAGGTCAGGTAATGTAGATCACCTGTGGGTCAGGGAATGTAAATCACTTGTAGGTCAGGTAATTTCGATCACCTGTAGGTTAGGTAATGTAGATCACCTGTAGGTCAGGGAATGTAGATCACCTGTTGGTCCGGAAATGTAAATCACCTGTAGGTCAGGGAATGTAGATCACCTGTAGGTCAGGGAATGTAGATCACCTGTAGGTCAGGGAATGTAAATCACCTGTAGGTGAGAGAATGTATATCACCTGTAGGTCAGGGAATGTAGATCACCTTGTAGATCAGGGATTGTAGATCAATTGTAGGTCAGGGAATGTAGATCACCTTGTAGGTCAGGGAATGTAGATCACCTGTAGGTCAGGGAATGTAGATCACCTGAAGGTCAGGGAATGTAGATCACCTGTAGGTAAGGGATTGTAGATCACCTGTAGGTCAGGGAATGTAGTTCACCTTGTAGGTCAGGGATTGTAGATAACCTGTAGGTCAGGTAATTTCGATCACATGTAGGTCAGGGAATGTAGATCACCTTGTAGGTCGGGGAATGTAGATCACCTTGTAGGTCAGGGAATGTAGATCACCTTGTAGGTCGGGGAATGTAGATCACTTGTAGGTCAGGGATTGTAGATCACCTGTAGGTCAGGGAATGTAGATCACCTGTAGGTCAGGGAATGTAGATCACCTTGTAGGTCGGGGAATGTAGATCACTTGTAGGTCAGGGATTGTAGATCACCTGTAGGTCAGGGAATGTAGATCACCTTGTAGGTCGGGGAATGTAGATCACCTGTAGGTCAGGGCTTGTAGATCACCTGTAAGTCAGGGAATGTAGATCACCTTGTAGGTCGGGGAATGTAGATCACCTTGTAGGTCAGGGATTGTAGATCACCTGTAGGTCAGGGAATGTAGATCACCTATAGGTCAGGGAATGTAGATCACCTCTAGGTCAGGGAATGAAGAAGTGTGTAACGTATTTCAATGTGCCGGGAAACTAAGCACAAAAATAAATGCTTCATGATGTCGGATGTGTGCGGTCGACAGGTGCAAATATCGCAGCTATGCTGTGAACAACCTCAAAAGAAGTACGTCATTCTGACAAACAGCGAAACAGATAGCATGGACTTGGGATAACACACTTCTGGAAGGTATATAATCTACAGGCAGAAAATACTGTTCTGCGACAAAAATGAGACGGAAGTACTGTTTTGTTGCAGCAATATTACTTTAATTAGACTTATTTGGACTTTCAACAGTTGACAGTATCGTGTTTAAAACAGTCTGTAAAACAAATTTGAAAATAAAAATTTTGCATCGACCGGGAATCAAACCCGGGTCACCCGCGTGGCAGGCGAGTATTCTACCACTAGACCACCGATGCCTACACGTAACAAGTATTCTAAATAAGTATAAGAAAAATTCTGAAAATAATAATAGTTATTTGATCGGTTGTTTTAGTCTTTTCTCGTTTCGATTTCAGATTACTTTGGAGCTCAGGGCGGTCCAAGGGGGACTCACCTTTAGCTTTTTTCAATTAGTGATATTTGGACATTTACATTTGCTTATCTGTTTGATATTGTAGATTCGTTCATTCCTTCATTTTCCTGTTGTACCTTTAACTGCCACAAAACATTTTGTAATGAGAATCTTCACCATTTCACTCAGGACACTTCCATAGGCGCTCCGTCCCCATCTTCAGCAGCAAGTGAATTGTTCTAATTCCGATGGTACTAGCAACTGTCTGATTGTACATCTGTCTCGCATTTTCCTTGAGAGTCTCAGCCAGATGCCCTGGCCACTCCCCAGCAGCGTCAGGGAATGTAGATGACCTTGTAGGTCAGGGAATATAGATCACCTATAGGTCAGGTAATGTAGATCACCTGTAGGTCAGGTAATGTAGATCACCTGTAGGTCAGGTAATGTAGATCACCTGTAGGTCAGGTCATGTAGATCACCTGTAGGTAGGGAATGTAGATCTCCTGTAGGTCAGGTAATGTAGATCACCGGTAGGAAAGGGAATGTAGATCACCTGTAGGTCAGGGAATGTAGATCACCTGTAGGTCAGGGAATGTAGATCACCTGTAGGTCAGGTAATGTAGATCACCTGTAGGTCAGGGAATGTAGATCACCTGCAGGTCAGGTAATGTAGATCACCTGTCGGAAAGGGAATGTAGATCACCTGTAGGTCAGGGAATGTAGATCACCTTGTAGGTCAGGGAATGTAGATCACCTGTAGGTCAGGGAATGTAGATCACCTGTAGGTCAGGGAATATAGATCACCTGTAGGTCAGGGAATGTAGATCACCTGTAGGTCAGAGAATATAGATCACCTGTAGGTCAGGTAATGTAGATCACCTGTAGGAAAGGGAATGTAGATCACCTGTAGGTCAGGGAATGTAGATCACCTGTAGGTCAGGGAATGTAGATCACCTGTAGGTCAGGTAATGTAGATCACCAGTAGGAAAGGGAATGTAGATCACCTGTAGGTCAGGTAATGTAGATCACCTGTAGGTCAGGGAATGTGGATCACCTGTAGGTCAGGGAATGTAGATCACCTTGTAGGTAAGGGAATGTAGATCACCTGTAGGTCAGGGAATGTAGATCACCTGTAGGTCAGGGAATGTAGATCACCTGTAGGTCAGGTAATGTCTATCACCTTTAGGTCAGGAAATGTAGATCACCTGTAGGTCAGGTAATGTAGATCACCTGTAGCTCCGGAAATGTAGATCACCTGTAGGAAAGGGAATGTAGATCACCTGTAGGTGAGAGAATGTAGATCACCTGTAGGTCAGGGAATGTAGATCACCTTGTAGGTCAGGGAATATAAATCACCTGTAGGTCAGGGAATGTAGATCACTTGTAGGTCAGGTAATTTTGATCACCTGTAGGTCAGGGAATGTAGATCACCTGTAGGTCAGGGAATGTAGATCACCTGTAGGTCAGGAAATGTAGATCACCTGTAGGCGTGGAAATGTAGATCACCTGTAGGTGGGGGAATTTAGATCACCTGTAGGTGAGAGTATGTAGATCATCTGTAGGTCAGGTAATGTAGATCACCTATAGGTCAGGTAATGTAGATCACCTTAGGTCAGGTAATGTAGATCACCTATAGTTAAGGGAATGTAGATCACCTGTAGGTCAGGTAATAAAGATCACCTATAGGTCAGGGATTGTAGATCACCTGTAGGTCAGGGAATGTAGATCACCTGTAGGTCAGGTAATGTAGATAAGCCATAGGTCAGGTAATGTAGATCACCCATAGGTCAGGGAATGTAGATCACCTGTAGGTCATGGAGTGTATATCACCTATATGTCAGGTAATGTAGATCACCTGTAGGTCAGGGAATGTAGATCACCTGTAGGTCAGGGAATGTAGATCACTTGAATTTCAGGGAATGTAGATCACCTGTAGGTCAGGTAATGTCGATCACCTGTAGGTCAGGGAATGTAGATCACCTGTAGGTCAGGGAATGTAGATCACCTGTAGGTCTGGAAATGTAGATCACCTGTAGGTTAGGTAATGTAGATCACCTGTAGGTGAGAGAATGTAGATCACCTGTAGGTCAGGGAATGTAGATCACCTTGT